ATTCTCGGGGATTCGGCTTTTGAGATCAGGCAGATTTGGCTCTTGAGACTGGGGGACTGAAGTATGGGTTTTAACTTTGGGAGTTCTGTAAATTATTGTTGACTTGTCGTTTTGTTTTGAAATAAACGTGGCCACACTGGCCATCGTAAACCAACCAACGCCGCAATGTGTCCAGCGGGATCGAACAACTTTTAGTATTTCTTTTTATTATCAACTTCCCGGGGGACTTGCATCGGGCCAACGTCCTCATCGGTCGCCACCATCCTGACCGGCCCCCTCTGCCCTTCCCCCTTGGAAAGTTGACTCGGAGCATTTCGGAACTATACTCAAAAGCTCAAAGATCTTATATCTCTCAGCGCATCAGCGAAGCATTGGCTTTTAGTTCAACGTTTCGGATATATTGCTTTACAAGGTTCTTTTTTTTTTTCGTCTTGTTGGGAAAGCTTGACTATAAAAAAAACAAAAAAAAAACATCAGTGAAATAGAAGAAAAACGTATGTCACTTTGTATGTGATATCGCCTCGCTTTGTAACATAGCAGTTGCAAACTTGCCATAGCTAGTCCATGAACAAATATTTTCACGTTTTTGCCACTGCTCCTGTCGATTACAGTAGAAAGCTGCCTAATATCACTGTCGCACTGTCTGATCAGATGCTGAATTTGTAAAATATTTTTCGGAAACCTCGTTCTGGGCCTTGTGCCCTCTTGCGCACTCTCTATTGGTGTAGAGCCAAGATTTGGACCATTTAATGGGAATAAACTTGACATTACGGTATAAATAGCCGGGCATTCGCGCAGCTCTTTGTTTCGAAAACAAAGCACATAGATAACGCTTGATGCTGACCACATTTTCCTCGAACGCTATTCGTTTAATCTAACATCAGCTCGTCTTGGCTCTTCTCATGTTATGACTCTGACGTCAGGTCTAAAGTTCGGCTTCTTTGCCACAAGTATATGCAATAAAATAACAGGCAGCCTTGTGCAAACATAAACAAGACTTTCCCGCTCGCATGGCACTTGTACCGCGGAGAGCGGAGAGGTCACCCGATACACCGGAATCCAGACGGTGCTAGCGTTTACCATGGCTTGGCGGAAACATTCCTCACCCCTCAATGACAAAAATGACAAAAATGAAAAAAAAAAAACAGCTAAAAGCGGTTGCGCCGAACCTTAGACAAGGTATATGCGTGCATGCGGGTATGTTTGGAGTGTATTAACGGCCCGTGGTTCTTTAGATCTAGCCTACTTCCAAACATAGACAGCCGAATGAGAGGGAAGAACGTGAGAGACGATTGCGTCAGAAAACATAAAAAAATGACTGAAATAAAGTCGCGCAACAGATACTTTAATTATCGAGTATTCGTAGAGCTTCTGAAAAATGTCTAAGGAACAAAATTTCAGCACTAAACACACACACACACACCGAAAAAGACTTGTAGTTGCCAGTTTTTTCAGCCCCGTGTATGTGGAGTGGCTCTTATCAGAAACGGTTGTAATCGATAAAGCACGACACAGGGAACACGGAGCTTATCGCTAGCATAGCTAAAGCGGCGCCGAGCAGTTGTCCTTGACATTCATTGGCTGTCGACCGACTCCGCGAATCATGAACCTATCGCGACATCATTAGCGAAAAAAAATATAAATAAAACATATCGCATTCCAGTTGCATTTTGCTTTCATCCGCTCACTTTCGTTACATACAAGATCAGTCGTATGCACTCGGCTTTTTTTAATATATATATTACTACAATTAATTACCGAAAGTGAGATGTTCGTAACACTAGACAGTTCAATCATTTTTGACGAGAACGTCAAATTAAATGGAGAGAAAAAGAATAAGTGTTTGCTTCCGACAGCAAAAGGGAAGGCAAATTTCCTTTCTAAATGCGAGCTGAGTCAAAAATGTACCCAGCGCTAAAACTTCTACCGCGAGAGAGTCTTTAGCAATATTAATTTTGTTAGGTTTTACTATTTCCTCCTCTCGGACGGGCTGCCTAATTTTCTACACTAGGGTAGCTGCATTTTGAGAGCAACCTTCGACTGAGAAAAGAGACGAGAGTTCCACTAGCTAATGCTTGTCGTGCGAGATGCGAAACAAGAGACTCATGGAACAAGAGCAAAAATATTGCATCCTGCCTTTGTTTTTTGCTTTTTTTAGGGTGGAAACTTTTCTTTCCCTTCCCTATAGATACGATCAAATGAGGTATGTTTCGACTTCGAATACACCGTGCCGCTCGTGTAAGCTGCAAGAACCCAGCACCAACAGCGTAAGTCGCGGAAACGTGAAAGGAACCTTAAAACCGGATTCGCCCCCAGCGATAAAAAAAAGAAAAAAAAAGAAAGAGAACATCGAAAGTAGCAGGACTGAGCAGCAGCCAGGTGCAAGTGGGGAAGCACGCCGCCGGTCCAAGCTACAAAGTGACGCCGAAGGGCAGCGTTGTTACTCGCGGTTCTTCCCGTCCGGCTCAGCGTATCCGGGGGTCAGCAAAACAAACACACTGCAGGGTGGATCCGTAATTCACTTAGGGCGGGCTGGGGGACAGGGGCGAGCAAACCCCTTTTCAAGGGCATATTTGGCGTGCCCGGCAAACAAGGGCGGTGTGTTCCGGCCGTGTGTTACGTCGGTGCAGCCGGTAGCTGAGGAGATGCTGGTGTCTGCGTCTAATGGTGAATTCCGCTCGCAGATCTCGAGCGCTCCAAAAGCGCTCCATTTGGAGCGCGCATATTCCGCTCGCAGATCTGGCTCGAGCTGGTCATCTTCCGCTCGTAGATCTCTGGCAACGCCCGCTCCACGGAGCGCCCCAAACTCCGCCGAACTTGCTCTGCGGGATTTCACAGATCTCTCCGGAAATTGACAGAGCGGCCCACGTGATTTCCGTCTAAATCGGCGGTGCGCATGCGCGGCGAGGTTGGAGAGATCGGCGGGCCGGTCGGTGGAGTTGGATCTGTTCGGGTGCGTCGGTTGTTTACTCTGGACTGTGACGGCTCGAACGCTTCTACCTCGCGTAGATCAGGGAAAAAAAGCCGGGAATGTGGAGCGTGGCAAATCGTAAGCGCTGACATCTGTGATCACCGAGGAAGAACGAAAAAAAGAACGACAGAAAAGCCGGAGGCAGACGCAAGGTTAGGCCTATTCATTCTGCAGCCAGTGATTGTTTACCTTTTTACACTGCATTCCATCGGCGTTTTCCCGTGAAATAAAGCAAGATGTGGCTAGGCAACGACCGCGCAAGTGATGGTTTGTTACCTCTGTGTTTATTAAAGTCGTACTAGCAATCTGAACTCCACCGCTGGCAATCGCTGTCCGTGCCCCGCCGCTTCGAGGCGGCCGAAAGGTATGTGACGGTGCCGAACGCGGACGTCTTCGCTATTTGTGACATGGGCGCCGTGGTACGTATAATTCCGCCCGGCCTGTGTCGCGTGTTACTTCTGCAGCTAAGCAGTGACAGTCGTCACTGGTCGTCGGAAAGATCAGCCGGCTGAGGCGTTGGTGGGCTGGTCAAGTTCGAGCAGCGGCCATTTTGAACGGCGGAAGGAGAAGGGGTGGGGAGGGGTGTGGGGGAGGTCGCGCTCCAAAAATGCAAGTTTATCTTCCCCTCGTCGATACGGAGCGGGTCCCACGGAGCGGAATTTTGCCTCCCTCGCGGATTTTGGAAAGCGCTCCAGATCTACGAGTGGAATTCACCATAACTCCGGGAAAGAACGTCTGGGCTGCGCACGCCACATTTCTCTTGCTGCTACCCGTCTCGGGGAATGACAGAGCACCCCGGTTCAACAACACGTAGACATATAATGACCGCTATCGCCTGCGACGGCCCTTTATCAGCGACGGAGCGCCGCTCGCGTGGCCAGTTGCCCTTGGACCCCTCGTGGTGAAGATGACCAGCCATGATTGTCGGAGGGGCAACCTGGGCCAAATGCTTGGAATCCCCAGTTTGCCCACAAGACAAGGACAATCGATTCAATGGATATCGTATCGCAAAAGACGGCCGCATTATTAAGAGGATTAACGAGCGCCTGGTCGAACCAATTGCCGGGCTTGTCCTTTAGTTAGATGGACATTTATGCGTTTATTACTCAGTGAAGTTGAACTGAGGAAAATCACAGACAGCAACTCGCGTTTCTTTTCTTTCTTTCTTTTTTTTCCCACGATAGTAATTACATATTTTCTATGGCCCGAGTCGTCCGAGCGGGATCTCCCGAATGCTTGATAATTCAGGCAATTAGCTGTTGATGATAATAAAAAATGACATGACAGTGATGACGGTTTGTGTACTAGATGGACACGTAACGACTAAGCGATACTTGGTTACTTCTTTCGATAACTTTCCGGGAAAATGACGTACGCTAAGACAAGCTTCACGAGCATTTCTCCCATACTGGCTTCTCGTAAAAAATTAAGAAACGACGGGAAGAGCCTGAAGCGTTCTATGACTTGCCGCCAAATTCGCCGTACCACCTCGAGCATTCGACATTCGAATGTTAATTTGATGAAGTGAGGAATTTGTCCCTGTTGTCTGGGATCGCCTACTGCAATCTAAAGGAATAGAATGGACGTACTAGATAGGAACTACAATTACGAAATCTGTACGCTATGAATAATGGATCAAACTATACACACAGACATCATAAGATTTTACACAAGGAGGGACTCCACAAGATCGAGAAGGGGAGGTGCCAGCCAGTGGCGTAGCCAGGAATTTTTTTCGGGGGGGGGGGGGGGGGGGGGCAGGCATTCTACAAGCCCCCCCCCCCCCCCCCCCCCTCCCTGGCTACGCCCCTGGGGCCAACTTTACTACATTGTCTGAAAGCAGTGCGCTCTTTTGTTTCCCCCTTGTCGGAAAAGTTGGCAAACGGCCGAAAACGGCTGAAACGTCATGCCCTGTCGCGAAAGGCGCCTCTTTCGGCACGCTACAAAGCGCCCCCTCCCGCGCCAGGTTGGGTGGAATTCGAAGCGGCAAGCGCGGATAGAGAGAGTGAACTCTGGTTCGGACACTCACCGCGGTCCGAAGCCCTGTTCCCGGAGGAGGCGTGCGGGGCACCCGGTCGTCCACATGCCGCTGCCGTCGGTGCCGGAGGCCGCGAAACGAGAGCGTGGGTATCCTTCGGCGGCGGGCGAGCGGCGTCCTCCCTTCCGCCGCAGCTGAGCTCCGCCGAGTGACTGTGCCGACGGCGAGAGCGACGGAGGCTGCGGTCGACGCGGTCGGGATCGCCGGCGCTGCTCCGCTGTTTCGGCGAAACGGTCAGCGCCGCTTAACGACTGCTGGCTACGACGCCTAGAAAACCGTTCGTTGCTCGTTAGCTCACCGAAAATTAACGCCTTACTGAGATTCGTTATCGTCCTGCAAACGTAACAAAATATTGTTACCGTCACTTTCAAGGACTAACGAATTTTACTTTTACGTTACTTTCGATTTCGGAATTCGGCAGCAATGAGCCGCGGCTGCGAATGTTGTGAGCAATTAAATACTTACAAAACGATTTCGCTTTATTTTTATCATTCGTTTATCGAATTTGTAGAATTAAGTGAGGTTCCGATAGCGCGTTGGACCTTTAAAGAGACAGAAAACGTGACTATGACTATTTTTAATTAAAATTTACGAGTACGCAATTTGATACACAATACCTAAAATAGTAACAAAAATACTTTGATCGCCAGTTACTCCTGATTATACCGAGTACGTGAGGACGCCACTGAAAATCTAACGTGCTACGTCGACGCTTGTAACGCCTCGACACTGCCGAACACCACAACTGCTGCAGCTATACGACCCTCTTGACACAATTCACGCGCCGTCGGAATCCTCGGGTGAGGGATGTTTCTCTTGGAGTTGACGGAGTCGCGCTTTTATAGACGAGCACGTCCGATTCCGGCACGGCATGCCGTATCCCTCCCGGCTGTTTCAAAGCGGGATGTTGTTGCGCGTTCTTCGCCGCCCGGGGTTGCGGCGAGGCGGAACTGACGCCATTGTCGCGGGGGGATCGGGGGAGGGATGACGATGAACCGGAATGGGGGATGCCGCCGCTTAATTAAGACATGTTCTAGGTCTGACTGTGTTTCCGACGCAGGGAAACTATCCGAGGGACAGGCTCGATTATGTAGACAATATATGTAAAATACGCTGTCATCGTTTTATTTTCGTTTTTCTCTGGTGAGGTCTCCTATTTTTGTTTCAAGAATAGAGCACTGTTTGTCGCTTTATGACCTCCTTATCTTTTTAGTACTTTATTTGTTTATTTGCTCCCATAAATGCTACTTATCAATCTATCGAGCAAACAGGAACTTAAACAGATCGGCGCTTGGACCCATTAATGACTTTAAGGACAACCAACGGAATTAAACATATTGAAATGTTTTTTAACGCAAGTATGGACAAAGGACAAACAATGGCGACAAACACTGTGTGTCCTTCATCTGTATAGTTGCGTTCAAAAACCTTTCAGTATGTTCAACCCATACGCTCCTATTACTTTCAAAATTAAACAGGGATTTTTCAGAAGACCGTTTAATATTGTTCCCCCTAACCCGTATACCGTCCAGCTTGAATGGCTTCAGTCAAAGTTCTTTTCTTTGACTAATTTTACTATGTTTGTGTATTTGCGTCTAATTCAAGCAACTTATTATTATTTTTTTTTTTTACAGGAAATACATTGTGTAGTTTATATTTCTAGAAATACGCGGTTCAATAAAAAAAACCTCGGCGCCTCTTTAAGAGTATCCCGAAAAAATGACAACGCTGGGAGTCGAGGAAAGCTTGGTAGAACATCCGTCATACTTGAAAAGAATCGGAAAACATAGTGGCTGTCGAAGTTTTTTTTGCAAGCTTACTGGTTCCCGGGACTCAGAGAAATTAAGTCCCAGCAAAATGCCCGATATCAATCCGAGGTTTGCACGAGAATTATCTTTTCAAGTTATATGTTCCCAGCTTCAATTTCCTTCGTAATTTTTTTTTTGCCGTTTTTTCTTTTTCGTTATGCATTAGAGAGGCACAGGTTGTTCGTAAACCCATTCTTAAAATAACTGTGACTCCTAATTGAGGGTTAAGTAGTCACAAAATGCCTTTTCAATGGAGGTAACCGACAAATCTATTTGTATTTCCTGCATGTTGTAGCTATGGGCGTAAGCTTGGTGGCATGGTCGTACTGTGCTTTAAAAGGCAACTTGCATTAGCTCTCGCTGATCATTTACGAACTGTGAAATTTCGTCCAGAAAATAAGACTGTTATTCATCGACTCGCTGCTAGCTCTTATGAAGCCTGAATTGGAATAGAGCGGTGGTAATGCTGAATAAGCAAACTTCCGTATATTATGAGAGGTTCTCGGTTAATTCAGCTTATTCTAGGATAATTAATTGTACGGCCGGACCGTGTGTCACTCTGATACACACGCTGCCCCTATTCGTAACTGGCAGTTTGGAAACTCGACCGAACAGCTGCGGGTCTTGCCACACAGACTCAGCACGTTCAAACCTGCAACTTCACTTTCGATTGTTTAAGGGGGAAGGGGACGCGAGGCAACTGATGGTACTCCAGAATATGACAACCCGCAGATGATTCATGGTCGTCTAAAAAGGTGCGAAGCAGACACGTAAGCGGTAAAGGCGAAAAAAAAAATAATAACCAAGAACCGTTACTATCCACCCGCTCAAAGAGTAGTTTTTTTACATTACCAAGTCTCGGCTGGAAGGCGTTACTGTGCGTAGACTGCAGCGCGTTTCTTTTCTTTTCAAGATGAAGCAAAAATTACTTCTCAAGATGAAGCAAAAATGAAGGCCGACGGGACGCTACGTTTCAGCATATATCGGCATTCGTCAAAAGCCACTGCCAGCCAAGAGGAGAGTCAGAATCTACACAGTGGCACAGCTGCGTTGTGACGTGTGTTTCTCCCAAGCGCTTATTGAACAGCTGGGGTCGTAGCCTACGCCACTTCCCAAGATATGCCGAAACGGAGTATAGCAAAGCAAAGTGGGACTGTAAGAACAAAACGAAGCGCTGAACTGCTGGTGGAACACACCTCGTGTAGTTTACCCGTTTTCTTGATATTTTTTATTGTTCATTAAAGGAGACCTGCAATCATATTCAAGCGTCTACCTTTTTTGCGGTTTCCACGTCTCTTGGGGTTCGGGCAAGCCAGCGGGCACGGAGAGAGCAACTAAATATCAGTGCGTCATATTTGAACGCGACGATGCGAAAACCTCCTCCAGATATGGGAGCGACCCGCGGTGCCTAAAGCGCGCAATATGTGACGACATCGTGACGTTTTAGGTCCTGGCCTTTCTACTGGCCAGAGCCGCTAAAAGCTTCTGTTTAATCGAAATACAAAATACATGATTAAAATAGCGCAAACTTGACAAGGACAACAAAGAAGGCACACGTACAACAGGACAGGCGCCAGTCCTGCTGTACGTGTGCCTTCTTTGTTGTCCTTGTCAAGTTTGCGCTATTTTAATCATGTCTAGTAAGAACCAACTAGCCCAAACAAAAGTCGTTTTACAAAATATAAGTGGCGCGAGCCGTTTCAATTAGTTTTAAAAGTACTTTTTGTATAGTATTTTAGATCAGAAAAGAAACAAATGCAGTTTATAAAGTACGGAAACAAGAAATGACCCGTCGAGATACCCGCCACCAAGCGGTGGAAAAGGCGGCGCATACTAGAAAGGTCATGTGGGATCAGGCGCCGACGAGCGACGAGAGTAGGGAGCTCCCGGATGTACGCGGCGGCGCTGCAGTCGAGGATCCGACCGGTTCCGGGCGTTCCGAAGGCCTTCGGCGAGCGGCTTTGGCTTGCGGTTTGGCCCTTTGGCGGCATTTTAGCGCGAAGTGGCTCCCGTTCTGAACTGGTCTTTACCCCGTGTTTGCTGTCGTTTTTGGGCAATGAAGTGTCATGCCGAATTAGTGTTTGATCGTGCAGCAAATGCAATGCGAGCCGCCCTGGCAGCCCGCTTCGTACGGCCTATCCAGAACATGCTTTAGTGGCGCCCTCTCGAGCCATGGACACGGAGTATGGCAGCCGTGGGCGCTCGCTGGGCTCACCACCCTTCCGCTAGTACACGGCCACTCAAGCAACCGAAGACGTCATGAGGGAGGTTATTTTTTGCTTGTTTTTTGTAATTTTAATTTGCCTATAACTTTTAAAATAAAGCGAAATTTGATAGAAGAAAAATTTTATTAAGTTACTACGTTCAGTGCGCTCAGGTTCGGTGCAAATTGAAAACCAGTAAAAAAGTCCTTGCAGGGCCCCTTTAGTTACAGTAAGAAAAGAGTCGGTGCATCTAGCGTTGACCGCGGCTGTACTGTCCTATTTTGTACATACGCTTTCCCGACTGTCATTTTTTTTTTTTGCGCTTCGATGTATTCGTGAACCGATTTTTGCCGTTTTGCCAATTGACTCCGAAACTTGATCTAAAAAAGTACCGCCTGAGCCCTTTCCAAAATTATGCCCCAGAAGGGTGACATACTCTTCTCAGGCGCTCGTCACTAGCCCAGCAGCGCGCCGTCAGTGCATCCACTAAGGACAATATATGCCGAGATAAGGATGAAGTAATTGGAACGACCATCTCACTCGACTTCAGTAGAAGCAGGACTGCCGGTGCCATTTTTGCGTCCAATCTCAAAATCTGTCGACAAAAACGTGAAAAATGATCGATTAATATCCTAATACTTTTGTCGCTTCGCAATCTTTTTGTTCTATTGAAATTTTCACTAAAAGTAAAAGAAAACATGAAAGACGTTTACAACACCCTGTAACACCGAATTAGAGCGCAGCTTTGAGGAGGAGGAGGGAGGGTACTTAGGGAAGGGTATACCCCTCCTTCCCCCTCCTCACCTCCTCATCCTTCCTGCTACCCCTCCTCCCCTCCTCCGTCCTCTTCCTCCTTCTCTCCTCCTCCCTCATCCCTCCTACTCCTCTCTTCCCTTCTCCTCTTGCCCCTCCCCCTTTGCCCTTCCCCTCCTCCTCCCGGCGCGGTGCATTATGGAAAATGTCCCATAATGCAATGCGTGGGACTCGAGGCGTCACGTGTGACATCACGAGGGTCACGTGACGTCACTACGGTCCCGCGCGGTGCATTATGGGACATTTCCCATAATACACCGCGCGGTTACGCCGACAGCGACGGCGACGCCGACGCCTCTCAAGCCCGAAACAAGCGCCTAAGAGCTGCGCTCTAACAAATCGGGGTTTGTGTATGTTTACACATCAACCTGGTCTGCCTCAACGGGTGACGAGTCTCCCACCTGTAGATGAGAAA